GTGTAGCAAAAACCCTCGCGAGCGAGCGAGCGAGCATCGTGCGGCCACACAAAACAAAAAGGCAGCACTGTTGAAACCTAACAAGACGAGATTTAGCGGCGGTAATAAATCGGATTGGACGAGCGTAATCCCCCGCATTATTTACACGACGTCCTTAATTACCATGTACGGCACAGAGAGGGCACGACGGTCCTGTTATACGAAGGTACTCCTTCCACCACGTGTTCCACAACTTGTAAAACCGAGAAATTTTAGGGTCAGTTGAAAAACTGTTTGGAGAGAAATTATTTTTCGATATTTAGAAAGCGAAAAACTCATTGATTTTTATGGAAAATGTTCTTTTGTCTTGAAAACAATGAGCTTAAATTGAAAGAAATTGTTTATCGCGACGGAAGATAGAACATGACAGTACCGTTATGTGACGGCCCTTCTTCCACCACATATTCTAAAATGTAAAGTCAATAAAATCCTAGGGTTCGATTGTTTGAAGGAAAAACCGATTCTCGGAAAATTATTTTCCGACCTTCCAATATTTAGATAACGGAAAAACTAATCGATTTACGGAAAATGTTTTCCGTGAACTAAGCACAAGTAGATTAAATTGGAGGAAAATGACTTTCCCTTTCATTCTAGCAAGATGGAAATTACTTTCACTAAACTATTAAATAAATGAAAACTAATTATTTCCTTAAAAATGATTTTCATTGAAAATATTTTCTTTTATCATGAAATTTTCAGTGAAATAAAAGTACCCCAGAACTGGTTTTTTTTTATATACTCAGAATGTTTGTCACGATAGTCCACGACAGCAAATATTATTCGCATTCAACTATGATGAGAAGCTTAATTTATTACCGTTCAACAACTATTATGGTAAAAGAAACGAATATATCTAGTTAAACAAAAGATTATGGATGAGAAAATAATTCCGTTGGTATAGGTTCCACCATCACGGATGTCGGTAAGATATTATGTTATCGTTAAACTTCTGGCGACAAAATTACAACTATTGTCTCTAAAGGTTGCACCTAGTAATAAAAACTTCGGTAAAGTATCGAACCGTTATTAACAAGATTTAGGGCGTTACTAAATTGGCTTTTACTTTATGTTGAATTTTAAATCTTGCGGTGCACGCACTTTGACTTTGTTTAATCCCAAATAATTTGAAACTCTCATATCATATAAATATTAACACGTAGATTAACATTTATTATTTATGGATAATATTTTAAAGTTTAGCAAAAAAACCGAAAAGATTCTTTTTACATGCATCTGAAGTTAACCAAACAATAACTCAGTTTACATAGCTAAGTTTCCACTTTTAGCGACAAGAAATAAATTTAGTCGAATTCTTTAAGCATTTAATTAATCAAAGTAAGCAAATTTTATAGAAATTTTTTTTAGATTCCTCTCCAATGTTGATTAACTATGGTAAGCAGATTTTAGAGAACATCAGTTTAATCTTTGCTTGTTTCGTGGAAAATAAATAACTTGAAAAATATTTTTCACACAATGATTGCTTGTATTGCGTGAAATAATTAGTTAATGGAAAATGTTTACATTATCGACAAAATTTTATAACATTTTCATCGAGGAAAAAGTGTCAGAAAAGTCATAAACCTTTGCATTTGTGCCAATTGAGTCATAAACCTTTTATTTTTGTGTCAATTTAGTCTTTCTGGCTAATTTCGGCCGTGTTTTGCTGACATGGACACCGGCCGGGCGGCCACTGGCGCTGACATGGATAATTTTAATAATATTTTTAATATTTATTTATTTTTTCTTTTTTTCCCTCCCCTCCCTCCTCTCTAGCGAGCCACATCGGCCACGGGCGAAGCTTGCCCAGCCATGGTGAGGCTCGCCTTCGCCCCTTGTCGGCCTCTGGCCTTTGACCGGCTCCGAACCGGCGACCAGCTGGAGGAAGGAGGGAGGGGAAGAAAAAAAAAGAAAAAGAAAAGAAAAAAAGAAACAAAATTTTTAAAAAAATATTAAAATATTATTAAAAGTTGTTCACGTCAGTGTTGACCGTGTCACGTTGGCCGCCCGGCATCCACATTAGCAAAACCCGCTCAAAATTAGTCGAAATGACTGAATTGGCATAATGACAAAAATGTTTAAGACTCAATTAGCACAAAAAAAAGGTTTAGGACTTTTCTGGTACTTTTCCCTTTTTATGAACGATTTGTCAACACATTTTTGCAAGCCAAATAATCAATCAACTTTAGTTAAATGTTTTTCAAATTATTTATTTTCTGCGAAACAAATACACTCATTAGATTCCTCCACAAGTCCAACGGGTTGCCATGGACATGTGAAAGAAATTTGTGATCAACGAGTCTCCGTTATTCCAAAAGATAACGGAGATCGTTAGCATGATTGGCAGCTCCCTATCATGCATCTACCCCGATTAAAAATCCACCAATCATTCGGTCCCAATCAAACTCGGTACGAACGCGATTCACCATTGATGATCCTCAAGCAGCAGGCGCGCGTTGCGAATTGCTAATCACTCCTGCAAATCGTGCCGGCCCCTTGTGTCGTGCCATAAATTGTCATCTTGATTAGGGAAGGGTGGGGCGTGCTTTGGACTGCTCCATGTTCATGTTTTTGGTGGTAGGCATGCGATTTGGTAATGAAGGAGGAGGTGTTATGATGATGTTCGAGCGATTCGCAATGATTCCTGCGGTGTACTGTCTTGTTTATTCTCCGATGAAGCAAAAGAGGGAGACGGGCGTGGACCGGAAAACGCTCGGGTCCTTTTTTTTGTGGGGTTTTCTCCCTTCACGCCGAAAGGGGGAGCAATTTGCACTACCGCCGTTGCCCTTTTTCATTTCCATCTCTCCATTTCGATATTCCAATTGGGTTGGTAGATAGATTATTCAAATACATCGGCCGTCGGCCCCATGGTTCGATAGAGTATAGCGATGACCGGCAAGGGACTGACCCGGTTCGGAAAGAGGGTCGATACGGGTTGGTGATTTATAGCGCTTTTGTGGGTTATTTGGTGAAGAACACGAATCCAATTTTTCCAAATGGTAGGCAACAGAGCGTTGGATAGAAGCAGCCTGTTTTAGAGACAAATTATGATGTTTTAAACAAGAAGGGAATCGTCTCTTGAATCGAGAGTAATTTGTACCAACGAGGTGTTGGTTTAAATGATAAGAGAATTTGCTACTTTCCTCGTGACCGTAGCTTCGAGTCTATTGGAAGCACTTCGGGAGGAAAATCCTAAATGCACCGAGCCGATGCGGGAGAGCGTGCTCAGATGCACAAAAGCTGGCCAGAACACCACCGATCGCTTAAATAAAAAAAAAAACAAAGAGAAAGTTTGAAGCACCCAACAAAGTGAAGCACCTTGCGGCTATTTTGAAACTATCCCAGTCAGTTTAAAGGTACCAAAAGCTTGGCATTTGGAGCGTAGCACCTTTACAAACACGAACATTCATTGGCGTACGTAAATTTGCAGATACAGTAGGAATCACAATACAGAGCAAATTACGAAGATGCCACGGTGACAACAACCATATAGTCGAGCTTCGGATGCCGAAAGAAGCGTTCTTGGATTCTTCGGACGTCACTTTCACCCAAATGAATGCAGATTATCATGTTATCTGATTCAATGGCATTGACCGAAATACCAAATATGACTTTGGAACGGAAAAGAAGATGATGATGAGGGGAGTGTTCTTTGGTCCACTGCAAAACCCATCATCTCGTTCTACCTGCTTTGGAAAAGCAAAGCAAGTAGCTTCATTGTGCGTTGTACTGAGTTGCTTAGTTAATGACAGCAAGATTCTAAGATTGCCTCCTTAATTTAACTTATTTTTCTTAATTATTTACTACTTTATGGATGGTCATTTGGCCAAGTCGTCGGACACACAGGGTCCAATACAACAATTCCAGAAAAATGTCAAAAGTATTTTATAGCCTAATTGTGCATACAGCATGATCATCGCATTCTAATAACACAATCATCTTGCCCTAGAGAGATTCCGGCATCGAGGACACATGATAAAGTGTTACGATGTTGATGGGCGAATTTTGCGCCACCTTGAGGGCTTGAATCTAACAATTAGAATGCCGACCGATTAGAATGCTAACTTTTCAACAGCGAAGTCAATCGAACATAAAGATGACCGATGTGATAAGATTGAAGAGATTGTAAGTATCCACCGCAACCCGCAAAAAATAATTGAATACAATAAGCTCAGTTACCGCAGGGCACACTGTAAAGTGATTCCTTGTAGGAAATAGGAACAATGAAGGCTTTCCATTCAGATTTGGACACACAGGTTCATCAACCATCCACAACACACAAGAATATATTGTCCATGTTATGGAATCGATGCACAAGGCTTTCCATGCAATTGTTAGGCATGATGGGCCATCTCTGATCATGGATCGTTTTCAAATCCCTCTTCTTGCGCTGATCTATGGAGTAACAATAGTATGAACTGGCCAACCAGATGAAAATTCTTAGGCAAACAATGTACAGTACAATCTCTTTTCCTACAACCCTTTTGCACTTTGTTTACGACGAACTATCGCCACGTCAGAAAACAATCGTAACACCTTACAATGTGACAAACGCAGTACTTTGCAAAAGTAAGGCATAAGTCTCTTGTGCTTTGTCTTGCGCCCTGGACAAGTTGACGAACAAACATTGTTGACTTTTTGCTATAGAAGAGAAAGAGAACAGAATGCCAAGCATGGTATAAGAGAAAAAAATTGCTTCCTTCGATCCTTTTCATTTGCTTATTTCCATCACAGAAATTGAGCGATATCAGCTGATCTTGCCAGAAGCAGCTGATAGACAACTCATGTTGATTCCTGCTTTGTCTTCCCTCTTGCTGGAACAATCCCGGTTTGGCTGTCATATTCTCTCTTTTTATCTCGTATGCGCGACATTAACAAAAGAGTTAGTGTAATCTTTTTTTGTCTATTCTTAGTCGAGTGGATACACCTAAAGGTCACACTCTCAAACAAGAGAGAGAGAGAGGTGACAGTCAAGGTCAATTCTACTTGTAAGTATATTGAACTTTAGTGGATTTTGCAATCAAGTCCCTGAACTTTATTTTTTAAAACCAGATGCATTGAACTTTCATAATTTCTTGGTATCTTAAGCACATCGACAGGAATTCGACTAATAATCCGGCAAAATGCTTAAGTGATGGATGCCATGAACACTTGACCAATCGTCCAGATGCCACACCATTTCCACGTGCCTGCAACATTTGCATTTCCTCATAGTATTGGCTAGATTGCAGTCAAAATGAATGTAAGTACAAGAAATAGATACTTACTAGTACTGTGCAATTAAATCGAAGTTCAGTAATCCGATCACAAAAATCCATTATGGGTTAACTCTGGGGTCCCAAGACGCACCATACCTTTACAATCTTTTACCGTTGGATTAAAATGCAATGGATCTCAACGTTCTCCGGGACACACGATGCCTCTCGAGGACCATAGACTCACCCCTGTGTTGAACAAAACTTACAACACAAATTGTAGGAAAATTTGAGTTATAAATGCGATCGACATAATCTACTAGATTAAAACTACCTAGTACCTTATCATCACTGGTTTAGCATACGGACCACATGTAGACTAGACATTGTGTGCATATGAATCTTCACGAACGAAGTGAGTATGCAAAAGCAAGCACAAGGGAAACTTCAGCCGATGTAATACCAAAACGATAATACTCGAAGTTCAGGTCGCAATTTACTTGTTTCATGAGATTGAAGAGTTTTTTTCATGACTTTGTGATTCACTTACTTAGGCCGACTTTCTCGTTTAAAAGAGGCACATAGCTTTGACTTTCAAGCGCACTCATTCATTTTTAAATTTGCAGACTATGAATCTATTTTATGCTAGTCTCCTAGAAAAGGCGGAAACGATACAATGAGGTACACTACTAGAATACAGGAAGAAACGTCTGACTTTCCTTGAATTTGGGTCCAAAGGGATGGTCATTGCATCTTTTCCCTCCTTTTAAGAACCAGAATCACAACTGAGTATCAACTAAATCTAAGAAAGAGAGTATAAAATCAACCTGAAGTTGTAATGTAGATAGTAGCATACCTCAAAAAGCAAACTCAATGAAAAGAGGAGGAAGAGGTGAGGCTACATGGACTGTGAATGATTTGTTCCAACTTCAACGCATCTACACCCTTTCACATTGAACAAATTCTCTGATAGAAAAATAATGATTTGGTATTTGGTATGCCCTGTCTGGAATTGCTCTCTTCTTCTGCCCAATATACATTTAAATAGAGAGAACAGCGAAGCTGAAATCAATGCTGAATATGAAATGTCTCACCATTGGATTATGGGTGATGGGAGGTATGGGGAAGACAACTTTAGCTAAAACTCTTTACAACTCGATTTTTAGAAATTTTAAAGGTTCCGCTTTTCTTGATGGCATCAAAGGAACTTCGAGAGATTCCTAAAACTTTGTTCGTTTGCAAGGAAAATTGCTATCCCGGATATTAATGACAAAAGAAACAACCGTGACCAGTGTTGCTGGAGGAATTAGCTAAATGAAAGAGAGAATTTGTTGCAAAAGAGTTCTCCTTATTCTTGACGGTGTGGATAACATAGATGCTCTAGCTGGAGCTTTGTATGAGAAGTTGATCATCATTACATACTATTCCAGAGGATTTTGAGGCTTGTGAACTTTTAAGAAGTTTGCTTCTGGAACAGAAACATAGAAATAAGGAGAGATCTTGTTGATAGAGCTCTGCAATACACTCAACACCTTTCTTTAGCACCGGAGATGTTGGGTTCTGCCTTCTGTGCTAGTAGCAAATGTAAATTGGGAAAGTGACCCGAATAAATTCAACATAAGCTCGGACCAAACCATAAAATAAGCTATGATGGTTGAATTATGATGAGAAGGAGATTTTTTCTCCACATTGCTTGTTTTTTCAACGGGTGGAGTAGAACATAAGTGTTGTTGACAGTTGTGATCTTGAAGCAGCTAGTGGAGTAGATGAGAATGGGATCCTACAACTGCATGACTTGATTGAGTTGGTACCCTACAAGTGCATGACTTGAGTTGAGGGGCAACGACATTGTTGAGTGGATAGCAATTTTTCTTACAAACGAACCAAATTCCAGTGTTCGGAATCTCTCAAACCTTTGAGGCAATTGAGAAAAGTGGAACCTTCGAAATTTCCAAAAATAGAATTGTAAAGAATTTTAGCTAAAGTTGTAATCCCATACCTCCCATCGCCTATAATCCAATCATGAGACCTTCTTCCCGAACTTCATCCTGAGACTTCATTTTCAACAAAAATTGCTAGCCCTTGCCTCATACTGTTGGCTATCCTCCACCACAATTTTCCACAGGTTCCATCTCAATCTGTATAGGCATGGATAAGGGGGTTAATGCATCTTTCCTTCTGGGTAAGCCAGACTGCATATCTAATAGATTAGCATTATTTAGCTTTGAGTTTACAAATGGATAATTGCTGTAAGTCCCAAAATTTTTTAAGATGGCGATGCTTGTCTTAGCGATGGATAATGCTGACAGGACACATTGGATTGACTATTGGTTCATACAAAGATACATTTACTGTTCAAACGCACCATTTTCATTAGGTCACCTAAATATAACTAAGCGCGTGAAAGTACCTTCATACGCTTCGTTTCTCTTTTGTTTGAGTCGCATCACATAACATTGTCACGGGATCATTACAGCATAAACAAAAAGGAAAGAAAAAGAAAATAAAGTGAGAACAGAACAGCCATTACAGCCATTATCATATCTCAGTTGCAATTACTTGTCAGATTAGAGAATTAAGGAAAAAAAGTATAGCTCCTCAAATTTCTATAACATGTCCAATATTGGCCGAGTACAGAAATCGAGCATCGAAATCCCAAATGCTAAAGGGACTCCAGTTTATCGCGATTAGGAGATGACACAATCAGATATTTCATAGCAGCGATTCGAATACTCTCAATTTAGGAAGACGAAACTTCGCCCAAACGAGATCCAGAACCAGACCAGGCTGAACTAAAAGGGCATCCATAAACATGAATAACCCATGAAAATCTAAGTTATAGATCTCAGAAAACTCCGACAGCACAATATCTACTGAACCAACAATAGTTTTCATTGTAAAAATCTAGATAGGACAGCTGCAGACAAATCGAACTTCAAAGCTCAATTGAGCCAGTGATATCTAGAAACAGAAACTTAGCGGAACAGAGTAGAACCTCACCAAGCATCCCAAATCAGGTTTTGTCACCGTAAAGTGCAGTGGAATAGCCAAAGAAACACAAGACTATGATTGCTAGATTATGCTCACCTTGAGGAGATGAAGACTGAAGACTGAGGTGGAATGGATCGTCAGGGCACTTGGGGACTGCGTGTGAGCTTTAGCGATTGAAGGTTGCTTATAAATAAGAGGGAGGAAGCTGGGGTTGCTTTCTACTGGGGCGGTTGCTACCAGGTATTTCACAACTAAAAAGGCAAAGCACACTAACATTGACAACAGGACCAGATCACACAATGGATGAGTTGACAGTTGACTGCTGGTTATGAGAATGTCTGGTGATAGCTGATTCCAAATCCAAGTTCCATTATCTGCCACTTTAAAGTGAATGTTAAGGTTGGTGCATTTCTTTCGGCCCGGTTTGAACAGATCGGGCATGGCTTTTCTGGGCCCGGTCCATAGGCCGAGCCCAAAAGAAGGTCGATAAAGATTGTTCTTTTGTATTTAAATTTTTTTCCAAGATATTTACCATTATCAAATTTCAAAATTCTAATATACAATTCTCAAAATAACTGAAAATTCATTAGTTTCGTCACATTTGAAGTTTGATGGTATTTTTTTCGGCCGAAAAAAGGGTTTGATGGTTTATTCATATTTTTATGGCTTTATTGAGGTTTATCATAATACATGATTTATCTTTGAATGTTCAATACTATTTTATTTTCTAATTTTAGATATGCTATTATTTTTAAAACCTTTCAGGCCCGAAAACCACCACCTATCCAAAGTTGACCGACCGCTCTCTATCTCTCTCATTCTCTTTCTCATGCTGTTAGGGGGGGTGCAAGGCCAGCCTTTAGTGCTTGAATGGTGGTAACTTTAGTCTTGAAAGATTTACGCAGAATTCCGTTGTCGATGTTAGTCGCGAACACGCACAAAGGGACTGACACGGTTCCCGCGCTCGCACTCCCGTGCTCGGAAAGAGCTATTGCGAAGTTGGTCTGATTAGCATTGCACTGATAGTGGACGAGCCCCTTGGGGTGTATGAACATGTCACCAGTTTGGAGGGTCTGAGTGAAGAGCTTGTTGCTCGTGTCGACTAACCCGACCTCGAGAGACCCGTAATGACGAACAGTAGCTCTGATCCGTGGGGGTGCGTGTGCAGGGGGGTTCACTGAGCCGGCCGAGTATTTGAGGACCGCGAACGAAACGCTCTGCCCTTCAAGAGCAGGGAACTCCTTTGCGCTCACTTTCGTCACGTTAAAGGCAGTCGGGGGATTGGACTCCACGAGAGACCTCACGCCGGTGTATGTGAAGAAGTTGCCATCGACATTAGTGACGTTTGGGGGGAGCACAAAGTCGGCGGTGATGTCAGGATAGCCGGCGCTCGTTAAGCAAAGAAGGGACAAACTAAGGACTAATGCCATGACAAGCTCATACTTGGCCACGATGGACACTTTCAAGCTCATAAAAAATGACTTCTTTTGGGTTACGTTGTGTGAAGACAGGCTCGACTTCTAGCTTTCTAACTGGCCTCGTTTTTAGAGGAAGAATTTCAGAGAGAAGACGGCTAATTGCTGCTTGATGAAGATTACAATGCCCTTGATGTTTTCTAGACATTGTCGAGTATTTAGAGTAATGAGTTACTCGGTTCCATGCGTCGGTCACGTCTTGCTTGCTCAAGAATAGTGCCAAAATATTTGCATCGATAATGTGTTATGACTAGGAGCGCCAATCGACCAAAAGAGTTTAGACAAGAATCAACCGTTTGCGATTCTTTGGTAGAAATAAATCAGAAAAAGATTTAGACAGCCACATGTCTTGAACTTGCCTGTCTTTGTTTCAACTTGTGTGGGCTTCAAGAGTGAAGTCCTTAAAAATGAAGACAGCCGGTCATTGAAAAAGAGGATTAATGATGCCATTCAACACACATCAATCATGCGAAAAGAGTCACATTTTCGTTAGTCATCACCTACAATACGTAATGGGCTTCAAAAAGTAGCTGCGCACCCATTTCTCTTTCCTTAATGTGGTTATCGACGACTTAAACTTCTGATACGAAACTTCCAAGTAATGGTAGAGCTGGAATGGTTCATCGATTATCTCTTCATTCTCAGAGATATTATTTAAGAATGACTTGACAACCCTTAGGACCTTCTAGATGGCAAAATGTCATAAGTTTTTGCTCAATGACTGCAAGAGTTTTACTTCTCATAAAAAAGCAGCTCTATATAATTAAATACATCAAACTTATATGAATAATATATATATGTAATTCACTAACTGTGATCTATGCTATACTAATGTCAATCAGGAATATAACATTCAGTTGATCAAGTTGCAGCCAATTGGAGTTTTCATAAGAATCCTCTCTGCTGATTTATCAGAGATGGAACTAGATGTGAGATTTTAATTGCAACATTAACATAGTCAGGATGATCCATGTTGTTTGTATTGAAATATGATCAAGATTGCTCCACTACTAGGACGTTACAGATAGAAATTCTACTGTTGATTTTGCCTTTTTCTTCCTCTGGATATTTTCAATCGAGATATGATCATTGACTCACGTGCCTCAAAATTCTAAGAATCAACGATAATATGAAATTCCTCATTCTGTTTTTTTTTTTCCTCTTTTTTGAATTAGAAATTCCTTCGCAACATGTTGCTTATGATAAGTACCTACGTCCTAGCTTCGGATTATTAGTCCTGCATGATTCATTACTTGGTACAAGTTCGCTGGTGCGACCCCTTTACCACACCGCGCTACCACGCCTGACAGTGAGCAATCCAAATTCCTTGAAAATAAGTCAATAATAAGCTCACAGAAAAATATAATTTGATCTTAATAATTTTAGTTAGAATAAACTCCAAGAAATCATACTAGTTAAATTTGTGAGTGAATTCTTTTTTGATGTTCGTGGATGAGATGATGAATTTTGTTAATAAGTGTTTCAAATGACACTTATTATTATAAGTACAAGGGTTAATACTATTTAAAATCCCATACTGGTATATTTATGATAAATTTACCCCACATTAATTTTTTGACTACAAAAAACCTCCAAACTAGTAGACCTTGCTGAGTTGGATGACACGTGGCAGTTGACAGATGTAACAGCTTAGGGTTTTACCCTCCATTTGTATAAATATCCAATTTAACAAAAATTAACGGATAATGAACTTATCACAAATGTACCAATTCAAGATTTTTAGTGGTAAAAAAATTAGTTTTGGGTAAATCTGTCATATATATACCGGTTTAAAATTTTTTGTGATATTAAATCTAAGTAAAATTGGTAAATGGCTTATATGAATATATTTCGAAAAAAATGTTATATTTTCAAAAAAATTGACAAGACATTTCCCAATAGAAGCACTTTCCTTGTTTTCAGACAGGACAAGAAAATAGCGAACACAACAGGTAGCCGCCGTGGCGTAGCTCGCCGATGCCATCTCGTCTCGTTCGATTTCCCATCTTGTGGGTTGCAATCTCGCCTTTGTTGGTCTTGTCTCTCTCTCTCTCGATCTCATCGTCAAAATGTGCCACATACCTATTTAGAATAATCAGTGTGAGTCATAACTTCTTAATTAATTTTGTAGGTGTACGAGCTCGTCATACTAACCCTACGGTGTGCCAGAGGTTAACAAGTTTCTCCACATGAGGTATCAAATGCCCTTGGTACAAGTTCACTGGTGCGACCCCTTTGTCACACTGCGCTATCACGCCCAACTGTGAGCAATCCAAATTCCTTGAAAATAAGTCAATAATAAGCTCACAGAAAAATATAATTTGATCTTAATAATTTTAATTCGAATAAACTCCAAGAAATCATACTAGTTAAATTTGTGAGTGAATTCTTATTTGATGTTCGTGGATGAGTTGATGAATTTTGTTAATAAGTGTTTCAAATGACACTTATTAATATAAGTAAAAGGGTTAATACTGTTTAAAATCCCATACTAGTACATTTGTGATAATTTTACCCTATATTGATTTTTTGACCACAAAAAATCCTAAACTGGTAGATCTTGCCGAGTTGGATAACACATAGCAGTTGACAGATGAAACAGCTTAGGGTTTTACCCTCTATTTGTACCAGTTTGTAGTATTAATCTAATTTAACAAAAACTAATGGATAATGGATTTATAACAAATGTACCAATTCGGGGTTTTTAATGGTAAAAAAATTAGTTTTGGGTAAATTTATCACGTATCAGTTTTTTGTGGTATTAAACCTAAGTAAAATTGGTAAATAGCTTATAGGGTTAATACCACGAAAAACCCTAAATTGGTACACTTGTAACAATTTTACCCAAAACTATTTTTTTGACAAAAAAAAACCCCAAACTGGTACACTTGTGACAAATTTACCCCTAACTAATTTTTTAATATTATTTTTTTATTTTTCGAATTTTTTTATTAATTTTTTTTTATTTTTTCTTTACTTTTTTTTTCCTTTGTGTTCAATCTCTGGTCGGTCGCCGGTCCGGCGACCGGCCAGAGGCCGAAGCCGGCGTTGGGCGAGGTCGGCCTCGCCCTGCAACGGCGAGGTCGAGCCTCACCGGTGTTGGGCGAGGTCGGCCTCGCCGGCGTTGGGCGAGGTCGGCCTCGCCTGCGACGGCGAGCGGTGGCGAGGCTCGACCTCGCCGGCGTTGGGCGAGGTTGGCCTCTCCTTGCGACGGCGAGGTCGAGCCTCGCCCGGCCGCCGGGCGGGCCCTCGCTAGATCCGGCGAGGCTCGACCTCGCCGTCGCAGGCGAGGCCGACCTCGCCCAACGCCGGCGAGGTCGAGCCTCGCCAGCGGCCGGCGGGGCCGACCTCGCCGGCTTCGGCCTATGGCCGGTTGCCGGACCGGCGACCGGCTAGAGGTTGAAGACAAAGGAAAAAAAAAAAGTAAAGAAAAAATAAAAAATTAATAAAAAAATTCGAAAAATAAAAAAAATAATATTAAAAAATTAGTTCGGGGTAAAATTGTCACATGCGTACCAGTTTGGGGTTTTTGATGGTCAAAAAAATAGTTCGGGGTAAATTTGTCACAAGTGTACCAATTTGGGATTTTTTATGGTCAAAAAAATAGTTTGGGATAAAATTGTTACAAGTGTATCAGTTTAGGTTTTTCGTGGTATTAACCCTAACTTATATGAATATATTTCGAAAAAAATGTTATATTTTCAAAAAATTTGACAGGACATTTACCAATAGAAGCACTTCCCCTTGTTTTCAGACAGGACAAGGAAAATAGCGGGACACAGCAGGTAGCCGCCGTGGCGAGGCGACCTGTATAAATGCCTCTCCTCCTCCTCTCGCTCCACTGTTCTTGGCGTCCGTCGCAGTCCCCCACGCTTTCTCTCTCTCTCTCTCTCTCTGTTCTCCTCCCCCTCCGCTTCCCTCCCCCTTCTCTTCCTTCGTCTCCACGAAACCAAAACCAGATCATCTCTCTCTCTCTCTAAAAACCCTAAAGCCCTCAACTTCCAGTCGTCTGCAGTGCCGAAGGATGTCGTTCGTCGCTTCCGAGGTTTCGTAGAACCCGGCACCCCTTTCGAACCTCGCTTGCCGGGAACGACCCCTCTTCACCGGGCGGCGACCGAGCTGCGCTGCTCTGCTCCGATACGCCGCCGCCGCCATGGCCATCCGCGCCACCTTCACCTACTCGACCTACATTGCCCAGGCCTTCGCCTCCAACGCGGGCCTCCGCGTCGGGAACTGCCGGTTGCTCGAGGAGTGCTGGGTCCGGTCCCGCCTCCTCTGCCCGGGCAAGAGGTCCGAACCCGACCTCAGGCCCCACCCCTCGGCGCCTTCCGCTTCCGCTTCCGCGTGCTCCGCCCTCGCGGGAGAGGCCCGCGGCGGCTCCGATTGCGGGAGCTCGGTGATCGCCGGCTTGATCTCGCTGGCGAATTCGATCGCCGGGGGTTCGTGCTGTTCTCCGTTCTCGAGCGAGGGCGTTTTCGGGATTTCGCCCGGCAGGGCCTTGCCCGCGGCGGCTGCTTCCGGTGGCGGCGTGGACGGAGGAAATGGAGATGCGACGTGCTGTGAGAGAGAGGAGGACGATGGTGGTGGTGCCGAGAGATTGAGGAATGTTGCGGGGAATGGGTGGTTTTCGCGGGTTTTAGGGGTTCGTGCGGAAGATGCGAAGGCGGCTTTCACTGCCTTGACGGTGGGTTTGCTCTTTAGATCGCCTTTGGCCGAGGCGAGGTCGATACCCTCTTCGTCTATGTATCCAACTCTCGAAGTTGGTGACCGCATTTTGGCAGAAAAAGTGAGTGCACCGATAATTACTTTTACTGTGGGAAAATAATTACTGTTTACTTTCTGTTTGGATTTCAGTGAGCATTGATTGATATAATCAAATTGATGAGGGCCCCTTGTGATTCTTGTGAACATAGTGTAGGCAGGTCTTGTTGTTTTCCAGTCATGATTGAGGTCCGGTAGTTTTCGTGAGCAATTGATTGATTCAAAGCTCTATGGTTATCTGGAATCATCGATGCAGAATTTGTGATCATGTTTGTCGATGCTTGTTCAGAAATTAACATTCAAGCCTAGGACTGGAGAATAACTATGATATTTCTTCCATGGTAAACTCGTACTGGTTTAGGCTTGTAATGGGACCAACTAGCTGTTGTTGGAATGAATTAAAATGAACAATCCAGTGTATGGTTCTTTCTCCTTCTGATAGGAGATGGTTTAGCTGAATCAGAAAAAAAAAAGAAGTAAGGGAAACAAAGATTTGTCTGTTCCCATTTGCAAAAGAGCGAGTCGGACTAACTGGTTAAAGGGATGAAATGACTTTGCTTTTGCTAATTGATTTATTCAGATGGTTCATGGTTGGAGTTGTCTTTTCTTTTTGGGTGCTAAGCTAGGGTTAGATGATTTTGAGTTGGCTAATATTTCGCTCACTTTGCCTACTGGCTTTTGTTTCTGCAGGTGTCTTACATCTTTCGACAACCTGAGGTTTTGGACATTGTCATATTCAAGGCGCCTCCAGTTTTGCAGGTCTGTCTCAGTTAACTCTTGATGGGCAATTACTGATAGAAAATGGTTCCCCATTTTTGCTTTATCAGATTACAAAGAAATTTATTTGTTGGTTTTAAATTGGTCAGGAAGCTGGCTATGGCTCAAGTGACGTGTTCATAAAAAGGATTGTGGCAAAGGCTGGAGATTATGTTGAAGTAAGTTCTTAAGCAGTGCCAATCCTACTTACCCCCACTATCATGGTTTATTTTGAAGTAAGATTTGATGTGTTCTGTTAATATTTTAAGTAAATTTAAAACCTGTTATGCCAGGAATTCTGAATTTCCACCTCTGAATAAACTTTATTTGGTGGTCATGTATTGACTCTGGCTTTGATTTTGTAGGTTAACGATGGTAAACTTTTGGTGAATGGTCTTGCTCGAGATGAAGATTTCATCTTAGAGCCACTTGATTATGAGATGGAGCCAGTGGTAATGTAGTTTAATCAACTGTTCTTCTTCTTGTTGAATTGCAACTGCCTGCTCATGTGTTCTATGATTACTATGTGACCCAAGGTTGATCAGTTAGCACTGACAGATTTGTTTCTATGGATCTAACTGCAGCTTGTGCCCGAAGGATATGTTTTCGTGATGGGAGACAACCGTAACAACAGTTTTGATTCCCATAACTGGTATTTTTCGAGTCTTTCAGTTTCTCATGATTATTTTGCACGATAATGTGATTCATCAAGTTGGAAGATCGTTCTTTATCTGGTTAAAAATCGGTTGCTGTTTTAGCAGTTATAGTTGACTGGAACAATAATTTGCAAGTGTTTTGCTTTGGGGATGTGTGGAGTAGAAAAAACCGAGTTCACTACCATTCGCGCTATCTTGGAGCATGTTTCCAAGTCATCATATCTCGAACCATTATTTGCAGGGGTCCGCTGCCTGTCAAGAACATAGTTGGTAGATCATGGTTCCGCTATTGGCCTCCGTCCAGGGTACCCGATACTCTACACGAAGCACGCAGCATCAAGAGCGCCATTTCTTTCTCGTGACACAAGCTGCTCTGCCATCTGAGGGAGGATTCGTGTACCTAATTTTTATGTTTTTTCATTCACAGCGCATTCACAAGAGATGATGAAACCGTTTAGCAGAAACATGTAAAAAGAGAGATGATACTGCTGTATTATTCTTTTCGATCACTGTGATTTGTTGCATTGAGCGTCTCGGCCACGATTCCTATGGATGGATACAGCTTAGGATGGATTATGTTGACCTTCGGAACGACTGCTGAAATGCAAAGAGAGGGAGGAAAAGCTTGTCAGCGTTGCTTGTTTCCGATGAAGTTGGTGATATTGCAGTTTTAAGATGACATTATCATCTTCTGCTGTCCCCTTGTCTTAATGACTCTAAACCATGTGAAATGTGTGTGGATCGCTACGTCGTAGTTGATTCCTTCAATTTGGAAAATGTTTATACATGCCAATTACTAGGTTTTAATTTCTGCCCCAAACATGTTTACAGAATTTCCATCCATGTTGGAAATTTTTATTATGACAAACCAAATACGTTCTAAGAGGACAAATGGTGCGTTTTTTTTTTTACGGAAAAAGAAATATTTTAAAAATAATTACTTGTATTGTTTGAAATAATTGGTCGATAAAAAATGTTTTTATTATCGATTATAATTTATGTCTAAATATTTTCGTAAATGATGAAAATATTTTTCGTACATTTATTTTTATAAGTGATTGAAGCGATTATTTCTTAGAAAGTATTTTTTAAATTATTTATTTTCCGCAAAACAATAGGAGTCAAAATGTTTGAAAAAGAATTATCTATCTTTGTTTTAATTGAAAATAAGGTTCCGGTTGTTTTGCGGAAACTGAATAACTTGAAAAATATCTTCTAAAAAATGATAGACTTAAATTTTTGTCGACATAAAAAATATTTTTTATTAATTAATTATTTCAAATGATATAAGCAAATGTTTTTAAAAATAATATTTTTCGAATAATTTATTTTTCGGAAAATAAATGAAGCCTAAAATTAGTAAGCATTTTTACGGTCCAAACCAATCCCATGCGTCAAGAGTTTCGAAAACCTAAATAGGGTTTTGTTAGGGTATTTCTAATAAAGCGATAAATATATATATTTTTTGGTCTGAATAAAGCGATAATTTTCAATTCGCTTATTTCTCTCTTTATGGCCAAGCGATTCCTCTCGTGGGCAAAACGGTAATTTCCCCATCGTCCCGGCCTAGAACCTCGTATTCTAGACTTCTTCTAGTAACTAGAACTACCCACTTAAGATCATCTCTGCCCTCCCCGACCGGAGGTCGCCGGTAGCTGTCGTCGACGGGAACCGCACGACCTTGACCGAACAGCAGAAAGAGAGAGCGCGATGAGCTCGAGCTCGAGCTCCGCCATAGCCACTTTCTCTCTCCTCTTCTTCTCTCTCCTCCGTTTGCTGTCACTGTCGCTCCAAATCCCAGCTCCAGCTCTCGCGCTCGATGCCTCGTCCCTGCCCTCCGGCGCCGCGCTCTTCTTCCAGGTGCGTGACCGCGCGATCGAATTCGAATTCGAATCGAGTCGCATCAGCGCGCTCTTTCTCATCGTCGTCGCTTCCTGTTCGATCCGGGTTCAGGACGTCGTGAAGGGGATCTGCGCGAGGCAGAGATGGGACCCGGACGCCGTGAGCCTCTCCAGGCTGGATCTGGGCAGGGCCAGGTACGGGACCGCCCAGAGGTACGAGCTCCGGATCCGGTTCGGCAAGACCCATCTGCTCTTCTGGTCCTCCGACGAGGTGGCGTCGTGGAGGAAGCTGAACGCCACGCGGGGAGCGGAATTCCTGGATTTGGTGAGGGGGATCGGTTCGTCGCCGGTGATTGGTACTTTCAAGGTGGACGGCCCATTCGAGTTGCGGGCTGATGGAGATCACGAGTTCTCGCTCTCGCTGCCGGTGAGTTCTTCTCTGGGTTCCCATCTGCTACTGACTTTGTGTTATGGCCATTAATTTAAGCTATGGAAGTCTGCTTTGTTTCTGTTGTGTGAGTTTATTTGAGCCTTTCGGTATCGGGACTAGTCATTCCGCAGTGTGGTGTTTCAATTTGGAAGTTCTATCCTCTGCTTGATAGTTATCGGTTTGCTGCGAATCAGGATTTTGTGAAATTTGCAGGCTTCTAGTAAAGGATCAACCTTGATTAGGATTTTTATGGTTCAATTATAAGGTGGAGTGTCATTTAACTTCGCGTCTGCCGATGCTGGTTATATGGTGACACTTTTGCACAGATGTATAGTTCTTTACAGGTGGAATGCAGTTAGTTGTGGTTGGTTGCTTCCATTTCAAGGACATGAAGCTACTTTAGAGTTCAGCTCGTCCTGTTACTTTTGTTGGCAATAGCTCGTTCGCTTGGCAAACTGGGGGAGGTTAATATTTAACTAGCAAATGTTAATTTAAATCAATGGGCTTTGGAAATTTTGTGGATTTAAAGTTCACTGCTCTCCAGTGGAGTAAATGAAATTGTTTCCATACTCTGGCTGTGCTTGTTAGATTGGGTCAAGATGGTCATCCGATATGCTGAATATCTCGCTCCAATCTAATTCATGCATTTCCCGGTTGGGATGCTTGCAAAGATGGTGTTGACACCTACTACATCAAGAAAAAGCAATCGCAAGCAAAATGCCACACAATTGAGGCAGGATCCGGGCCAAGGGGAAGTTGAGCAATGATGCCTCTCAAGTAATGTCAGCAATGGATAATGTATAGCAAGTTTACATGTTGTTTAACTGGCCAGGATGAAGAAAAACTAATTGATGTTGAATAGTTACGTTAACTTTTAATTCAGCTTTTACATCGACCGAGATTATTAATAAAACCTAAGAAGTCTTGAGACAGGCATCCCATAAGCCAATTGAGGAAAATGTGGCAGCAGGTATTTCTCATTTAATTCTTTCAGCAAGAAGGGAACAATTACAATTAAGAAATCCAGCCAACTAGAAAGTCGAGTTAGTTAGCCAGCCAGCAAGTACATTTGAGTAATTTAGAATTGGAGACAAAATTTATTCTTCTTAAGCAACAACAGTTCCAAACTGTGCCTAGTTGGTTAAAGAAGCCTCAATATATAAAAGGAAGTGGAAAACAAAGGATGACACACATCATTATACGAGCACCCAAAGATGAGTTTTACTTTTCTGCGATTGACTTTCAACAATTTATTTATATGTTTTTCCTGCACTTCAATCCTTACTCTTTTGCTTTGTGATTTTGTGTTGTCAACTCAGCTTTGATACCAACTTGTATTGAACCATAGGCTGAGTTCATGCTTCTTTCATGTCGCAGTCGAATGATCATCAGTAGAAGGATTATCGTGTTGTTTGAAAATCGTAGACTTTGGTTTGTAGTCAATGCTATTCAAGTCAACTTTGCCGTCACTGTTTTTTTAGTGAACAGATGGATATAGGATTTATCAATTAGTTTCCATAATGAACTGAAATGAAGTGTTCTTATTCGATGTGTATGACTATGGCGAGAAAAGCAAGCTTTTCGCCATAGAGCAAGGAATGCTCCCTGGATGTTTGAGAGCTTTGGCTCACTGGCAGAGTGGTTGAGTTAACATATGATGTAGATGGTCCATTTGGAGAAGTGTCACTGTCGTGTGTGAGGTGAGTATGTAAGCATGGTTAACTATATAAATATCAGAGGAACTGCTGTGGTAGGATATCTGGTGTAACGATCATTGTCAGCTAATTTTTCTACTCGAGTTTTGTTACCCGTTCTATCTAAAGTTTCCAATTCTTTTTCCTGCTCAAAGGAACTCTTTACAAGTGCGTTGTGCTGAGTAATCCCTTTTGAGTGATCTTGACAACTTTGGGTGATGTAACAGATGAATAGGGGTTACCTTGTGTTAAATGATGTGAAAGGGAAAAAGTATATTGTATTATTCAATAAATTTTAATATATATACATCAAAATAAGCCCTAAAGGTCCTAAAGACCAGTTTACCCTTTATACTTCTAACACTCCCCCTCAAGCTGGAGCATAGATATTAATCATACCTAGCTTGTTACAGATATAATCTATCCTCCCATTACTCAATGATTTAGTAAAAATGTCTGCAAGTTGTTCACCAGTTTGAATGTGACTGGGAAGGATCAATCCACTCTACAACTTCTCTCGAATAAATTGACAGTCAATCTCAATGTGTTTTGTTCTCTTATGAAACAGGGTGTTGGAAGCTAAATGCACTGCTGCTTTATTATCACACCATAGAGTCATGGGTACTGAAGCTTTAAAGTCTAAATCAGTCAATAACTGCTTAATCCACCCTAATTCACATGTCACTTGTGCTATGGCTCTATATGCTGACTCAGCACTGGAGCGGGCAACAATGTTCTGTTTCTTACTCTTCCATGATACCAGATTTCCTCCAATCAAGGTACAATAGCCAGTGGTTGACCTCCTATCATCTGGAGATCTTGCCCAATCTGCATCAAAAAATCTTTCAACTCTGCTATGATCATGGTTTTGATAAACAAACTCCTTTCCCTAGAGTTTTTTTCAAGTACCTCAATATCCGAATAACTGCATCCTAGTGGGATGTACGAGGGGAAGGTAGAAATTGGCTTACCACACTGACTGGAAAGGCAATATCTAGTTGAGTAACTGTAAGATAATTCAGTTTACCTACCAGTCTTCTATATCTCTAATGATTATCAAGAATCTCTCCTTTTTCAGCAGCTAGTTTAACCCCTTGTTCCATGGGTGAAACAAGAGGCTTTGATCCCAACATACTTGTCTTAGTAAGCAAATCCAGAACATATATTCGCTGTGACAAAGCAATACCTTTATGTGACTGTGCAACTTCAATTCCTAGGAAATACTTCAACTTTGCTAAGTCCATAGTCTGAAACTGTTGCTGAAGATAAATTTTTAGTTCGATAGATTTTTAGTTCAGCTATACCAACTAAATCATCTCCCGTGATGATAATATCATCAATATACACAATCAAGAACAATTTGCCTCCCCTTGACTATTTATAAAAGAAAGAGTGATCATTTCCACATCTAGACAATCCAAAAGAGAGTACTGCCTCAGAAAACCTTCTAAACTACACCTGTGGGGATAGCTTTAAACATTATAAAGAATTTTTTGAATTTGCAAACCAGTCCCCCAGGCTTTCCCTGAGCAACAAATCCCAAAGGTTGCTCCATATAAACTTCCTCATTAAGAGTATCATGCAAGAAAGCATTCTTAACATCAAGTTGAAACAATGGCCAGTTATATGTGGCAACAAGAGAAATCAAAATTCGAACAGAAGTAAGTTTGGCAACAGGAGAAAAAGTATCCATATTGTCAATCGCATACACCTGAGCATACCCTTTGGCAACAAGCCTTGCTTTTAAACAAGCAAGAGAACCATCATGATTGACTTTCATAGCATACACCCATCAACAACCAATAGCAGTTTTGCCTGTAGGAAGAGGTGCCAAATCCCAAGTTTGATTAATCTGGAGAACCTTTAATTCTTCTTCCATTACTGTTCTCTAGTCAGAATTTTGTAATGCCTCAGCTATAGACTTAGGGAAAGGATGTTGTTCAACAGTAGATAAAAAAGTCCGAAAAGGAGACACAAAAGAGTATGAGACAAAGTTTGCAATAAAGTATTGAGTACAAGCACGTGTACATTTGCGATGAGCAATAGGAAGACCAAGATTAGATACAGGAGGAGAGTCAGTTAATGGTGAATCTGGAGTAGAAGACGACGTAGTAGTGAAGGAGAAAAAGGGGGAGTCTGGGACACAAGAGTTGAACTATCTACCATAGGTGTAGTATCCTGAGAAGACTCACTTATAAATTGACCATCAGTGTTGGGTAGTCTTGGGCCTCTTTCACTCCAAAAGCTAGCTCAAAGGTTGAGGCTTTCCCTCACACTTATAAACTGATCACCAGCCCCTTTTACAACCGATGTGGGACAATCTCAACAATCTTTCCCTCAAACATTGGGCCCTAGGACGAAGCTGCGACAACCCGTATCTCACCCGTGTGACTGTTAAGTCTAGACTTGTTGGCAACATGGGCTGTGATATCATGTGAAAGGGAAAAAGTATATTGTATTATTCAATAAAGTTGAATATATATACATCAAAATAAGCCCTAAAGGTCCTAAAAACCACTTTACCCTTTATACTTCTAACAAATGAAATAACTTTAGTTGTAGGTTTCATTTGGTTAGCGGAAAATGAATAATTTGGAAAATATTTTTTCTAAAAATGATCGCTTGTATCGCTCGAAATAATTAGTCAATGAAAAATATTTTCATTACCAACGACAATTTGTCTATACATTTTCGTAGATAATGAAAATATTTTTTGTTCATTCATTCTTGTTAGTGATACAAGCGGTCATTTTAGGAAAATGTATATCAAATTATTTATTTTCCGCAAAACTAACAGATCCACAGTTGTCACAACCATGCTAGCTTGAATAATTTCATCATGGAGTTGTGTCAACAAGACATGGCAGGTTAGCATAAGATGTTGATCATGCAGTTGGCCACTTATTTCTAATGGCATTTGTGTTGCACGTGCTGTGATGTATGTATTGCGTATATTGAATGAAACAATCTATCGGCTCAGCATCATTCTTTCTTAAGTACTACTTGAGATCACTGCGGAAATTTTGGATGATCTTCATATGAAATGATTAATATGTTTGGTGTTTTCTGCTGCTTCAGCTATATGTCCCATGAAATAGAACATGACATGCTTTAAAGAAATGAGATGAATTTCTAATTCATCCCATCGACTTGTTTATTGATAGGCCAGTCACTTTGTCTTTTCTTTTGGCCATCAATCACTTTGTCTAATTTAATCGAGAGAATTTAAAAAAAAAAAAAAGCTCTCAATCTTGTTGCATCCGAATCCTATTTAGGTTGACGGTATTTATAATTACAGTGTTTTGCTTGAATGCTGCTGATCTTATTTTCCTTACTTTTGGCTGTCAGCTAAACACCACATACAGTGGATTGAGACATGTCTTAGTGGGTGAAGGCATAACTGTGGAAGTGAATGGAGCTCAAGAAGTTTCTCTGCTTTATGGACCACAGTTTAATTTTTCAGGCAACGTCACTGAAGTGAAAAATGGATTCTGGCCCTATTGGCAATCACTGTGCACTCCTTTGTTGCCCATTCGTGTTTCAGGATCTGCGTCACTTATTGCCTACAGAACTCGAAATCCAAGTACATATTTAGAGACTAATTTCCCATCCAAAGATACCATTGAGTTGCTGCCGGAGAAATGTTATGGCAATTTTATGTATAAGAGACCTTCATGCCCCATTGATTCCTTGAGTTCGAGGATAGCCGCTCTTGAAAGAATTCTGGGGGGTTTAATGGGTAATCGGATGCGTCAAAATGGGTTTTTAGGATTTGTAAAAGCTAAAATTAAAGCTGAAACGATTATTCGTCTCCAGATACAATTGGAACGGAATGTTACAGGTAATGAGACTCACCTAGTAAAGTTGGAGCAGTGGAGAACGAGGCCTACTGTTGAACGAGTCTGGTTCCAGGTGGTGGCCAGAGTAGATGCAGAGAGGCTGACGCCCCTCATAATAGATAAAGTGAGGCCTTTTAGTGGAGGAGATACTGTTGCATGGAGTAGCTTATTGTCAAATATCTCATTCACTAAGTTCCCATCCATTTTAGTCCCTCCAGATGCTCTCACTTTGGATGTGAAATGGTAAATAATACCACTTGCCTCTCTTGTAACATAGTGTTTGTTCTGGAAATTTTTGGTGTACAAAATTGAGGCACAATGTTCCACTTTATCTTGTTTGCAAGGATTAGGAATACATCTCAATTGTATAAGTGCCTCTCATTTGCCTGTGTAAATAATATTTGTGAAGTAAATGAAGAGTCACAATGAGGTTTTTGTTTTCTGGCAACCACAATGATATTGCGATCGAGCCTTTGGTGTAATAGTAAGATTAGTCCACTGTAACCTGGAGGTGACAGGTTGGAGTCACGGAAACAAAGCAGCCTCTCAAGAAAAGCAGGGATGAGGCTGCACCGGAATGCATCTTTCTATTTCACCATGAGATTGTCATACGCTTGGCCTCACGATTTACATGGTTAAGCTTGATGATTGGTGCACCCTTTGATGGTCTATTCATAGGTCTCGCACAGAAGCGAAAAGTATTTTTAAACGAAGACCCTTAGTCGAAAGGACTCAGCATTATTACTTGAGTTGCGGTGCAATGGTCAGTATCTTATATTGTCATTGCTTCTTTAGTTCCCTTGCACCCCATTATTCAGTATACACAATCATGGCAATTGCAGGTACCGTTCAGCTTCTTCCTGTTTAATTTGTGTCTAGTCATCTGCCAATTGTTATTGAGAAACTCTTATGGTCTTTAGCCACTCTTGGAGCGCGGCTTCTTCATCCAAGTAAACCAGTCATCACACGCTGGTTGTTGTGAATTTCCTTGTTCTCATTGAAAAAGATGGAACTCAACACTCGTTTGATTATTTTAGGTGGAGGAGGATGTCGTACTTCTTGTACGTTGAAAATCCTCTTATTATTACTCCATTCCGGTTTCCAACACCAGGAAGTTCACCAAGTACCCGAATGGTGAGGAATACCAAGATGTGTGAGGAATCTTGCCCGAGCCGAACGGTCCTGAGAGAAAAATGCTAACAACATAAAGTGTTGTTCGCCATCGAGTTTTGAGCTGGTTAGAACATGCTCATTGGCACGGTGGAGCCATCAATGTCGTGCTCAAAAGCCACGTCTGGTCGAGCTCTGATGACTGCAGCAGCATTGATCGATGTGGTTAAGAGATCTGGTCGACTCTGATATGGCGGAATATCCCATACCAGCAGGTTTTGGAGCGTAGACTGGGATGCAGGTGAACCTGATCATAACCTGGGCGTTATGGGAAGAAAGCACGCGAAGAACTTCAATTTTAGTTATGAAGATATCCCCGGTTGAATTCTGGTAGATGAAGAAAGCCAAGACTCGAGCCAACCTAGTACTCATGAAGACTGCTGAAAATGTTCCTGAGAATTCAGAGGGGATTCTCGGTTTCTTCGACTTGCGTCACAATGCAAATTTTCCAGAATTTGGAGGCAGACGTTTTCGCCGCGATTTTCTCGGGGTCTTCAGGATTGCCACATGATCTCAGAATCTCCAAAGTTCGTTGTGTTGGTTCAATGAGCTTGCTTAATGCTTATATATCTATTAGGGTTTCTCCTCGGCTTTCTGGAAAAGGATCAACCTGTTCTCTGGATGATACACTTTAACATGACAAATCATATAACAATGGGTTATTGGCTTGCAAGCAAAAGATGGTCATATTATGGTCGGTAAGACCAACTAGGTTGTCAATCGAATGGTCCATGATTTGGTTTTTTTGCAAGCCGAGGGTTATAGGTTCGATTCCCCAATTTATTTTCGATCTCTGGAATCCCTGCGATGCACAAGCGTGGGCATAGGTGTATCGCTGGTCTTGAGCTTCCGTAATCACACTTGATGATGCACTAATAGGCTCGTCCAATGGACAATTGATGCTTCGTTTGCGCCTCAAACCAACATTGCAATAGCAGGTAAAAGTAGGCTACAATCCCATCCAAACCTTTTTCTGACGAGCAAAAGTGTAAATCGGTCTGGATTCTCTCGGTTCAATTAAAGAAATAAAAGTGGACTACTATATAGCTGTTTTTATGGTTTTGATACACAAAACAATCTATTGTGATTAATTGAACTCATGCCTACTAGTTACAATTTCTTAAAGGGACCCTTATGAATTTGATCTCCTCCTTACTAGAGGAAATAAGAAGACGGAAAACTTAACTATAAATAAAATGAAGGTGGCGCAAGAGCGTTAGAGTTTCTAACTTTAATTCACCTCTAGGCCTGCATTTCTCAGGATTTCTTCTTCGATCAGTTTTCACTTATCTCCCAATGAGCATTAAGAAATTAAATATGGGTAACATTTTAGGTTGAGGGAAAAATTGAGCTGAAGTCACTATGGGGACAACGTGGTAGGTATTGTCAATCATAGTGCAAAAACTAAGTAGCGGTTTTTGTTTACGTGGATCCATATAGGTCTTGCTATTTCAGCATAATCCAACAACACTACCTTTTGTGATAAGAACTATTATTTAAAGGCAATAAAAAAAAAGGCAGTGGTATGTATTCTTAGAAGAATCGATTTGAGACATGAAATTCACTTCTAAGTCGTGATAAATTGCACCTCTTGTAACCCTTTAGGATTGGTGTACTTGATTGGAGTGACAAAGGATTTTGAACCTTGAAGCTGGAGGCCAACTTCACCTATTCAAATCTTATCAACGACATGGTAAGGGTTAGAGCCCCCTCCACAAATAAAAAGTCATTGACCGATCTATGAATTTTGCAGGGTATTTTATGGGCTTTCAAGTAATAGGGTCTCTATGCTTGTTCACTTGCTATATAAGGGCGTGCATTGATCTTAGTCTCAATCACACTCACGTGGCTTGTGGCACTTTCCTCCTTTGTAAAACAATTTGAATTTTTTTTATGGGAAATTACACAAAATCCACATGAACATTAGAGGCAGTATAAATCTGCTCCCAAACTTTCAACTATTACACAATACCCTCATATTCTTTTTTTACTATCTAGAGCTGTTAAACGTTCATAATTATTTCCATTAGCACGTGCAATGCACATGACTTTTAAGGGGTAAAAATGTATTTTCATCTCATTTATTTTACAGAAAATACCACAAAAAATTCTAAATTATACCGATTGTGACACAAATACATCCAAAAAAATTGTCACCAAAAACGCTAAAGCTGCCCATTGTGATACAAATACCTCCAACTTTTTTTTGTGTCACCAAAAAGCCCAACAGAGGGAATTTTGTATAATTTCCCCTACAGTTTGATATTGAAAAAAAGGTTGGGAACCAACCGAGTTGATAACTTGCTTAAAAAAAAAGGAAAATTACTCAAAACCCTCATAAACTTTTTAGATAATACAAGTTTATCCCTAAACTTTTAACTGTTACCCCCATGAACTTAATGTTGTTATATTCCTTGACCCTCCACCAGTTTCTCCTTAGCACATGCAATGCACATGATTTTTATAAGTAAAAGTGTATTCTCATCTATTTTTTAAAGGAAAATTCTTTTTTTACTCTTATTCTCTATGGATAATGGAAAAGTATAATGGAGAAAAATAAATTATCCATAGTGAATTATAGGGGTGTGCAAAAAAACCGGGAACCGCCCGGAACCGGACCGGACCGGCCCGGAACCGGTGGTTCCTAAGGGAACCGGTCCGGTTCCCGGTTCCAGGTGCGGACCCACCCACCCGCCCACCCGGACCGGACCGGACCGGTAATATTATAATATATTATCTATTTATTTAAATTTTAATTACAAAAAAATAGAAACCCTAAATCACTAAATGCTCAATAACCTCCCCTCACTCTCGCACAGTCGCACTTATGGAATCTTCATCAACAGAGAAACACTCTCTCACTCTCATTGTCTCCACTCCGACGCTCCATCTCGGCCTCGACTCACGGCCTCACTCTGTCACTCTTCTCGATCAATACTCTCTCATCTCAAGCTCTCACCATCTCGTTCGCATCGTCTCCGTCTCCGACGCTCCGTTCACAACGCTCTGTCTCGGACGCTCCGTCTCCGATGCTCTGTTCACGGCGCTCCATCTCGGCCTCAACTCATGGCCTCGACTGTGGACTCCCACACGGCCGCGCCCTCTCAGTCGCCTTAATTGGCTAATTGCTGTAAGTTTGAATCCCTAATTTTTAATCTACTCGCTAAATCCCTTTGTCTCTTAAGTTGTTTGCATGATGCTGTGACGACAACATGAGCTGCCTTTTTAATATTGACCGTTCTTACTCTTCTCCATAACTGATGATTTTATTGTTGATGCATCCATAACTGATGATTCAGTGGATAGTTATTTGGGAGAGGTTTTTCCTTTATGACCTTAATTTCACAATCTTATGCCAGCATTATCTTTAAAACTCTAGTCTGATCTTTCATTTAACACTTTGATTCCATTGCAGATTCAACAAAGAATTTCGGCGAGAGGAAATGTTTTATCACCAGAAGATGAAATTGCGGACTCCGTTTTTATACAAGTTATTAGACATCGGCATTTTCTCAACTATTGCATTATGCTTAACTCCTAAATTGTCAATTACATAACGGGATAGTTGTCAATATACACATGTGGGCTCGTCAATTCCGATCTTGGTGTGCTGGTCGAAAGCATGTAAAGTTCATGTTCTGGGTTATTTATCTGTGATTTTACTTTTGGATATGGTCTTTTAAGGGATGAAAAAAGAAAGAAATTCCTACATTTACATACCTGGTGCAAAGTAGAAAAAGGGTGGTTTGTCACCGATGTGCACGTGCAGTGCTACTAGCACATGGTAGTTTAATTGGTAGTTCAACTTGAGACCGGTTCCAAGGACCCGCCCAAGAACCGGACCGGACCGGCGGTCTGGTTCTCGAGCGGGTTCATGGAACCGACGGGCGGTTCTCGATTTCAATTTTTGGAACCGGTCCTGTAGCGGGCGGTCCATGGTTCCGGGGTGGGAACCGCCCACCCGGACCATGCACACCCCCAGTGAATCAGCGTGGCATTCCGACTTGAACAAGGACCCTATCGACGATTGAAACAGAAGCTTGGAACTCAAGCTAGTGTGAACTACAAGATGCTTTGGAGTGGCGTTACCTGTTATGGGCCTGTGTCTTGGCCAAGTACTTACATGGACATACAAGCCCTTCGGGTTAGAAGGTTATCATAATTCTACTTTCTTAGATGAAAATGACGCACATGGTCCATGAACTTTGATCCAATATGTAATGTCATCCACTGTTAAGTTTGAACGGTGGACAACAAAAGAAAAACTACACGTAAATTATCCACGTAAAATATCCATATCAAATCAAGATATAATAATTCACGTCATTAAATAACGATGGATATGTCAACGCCCTAAGTCTTTTCCTTTTCTAGAGTAGATAGATGAAGAGATGGACATATTGACTCGTCATTTTAAAAATCTAATTCAATGGATAGTCATCCCTATCGTCAAATATCGTCTAATTTGTCGTTTGAGCACACAGAAGGATTACATTGAATATTTACCAATAGTTTAGGGACTATATTGAACAAATTAAAAGTCAAAGGATGACGTTGCACATTGAGTCAAAGATTAGGAACTATTTGTGTTATTTTCCCCATTTCCCAGCTTGTGGTTGTGAACTATGATTAGTGAATCATTTGAAATGTTAGCATTGGTTTCCACATGATTGAGAATTGGAAATTGAGTTCTCATACTTTGAACTAATCATTGAAATTTTGAAATTGTCATTTTGATTGTTGTTTTCTATTTCTAAGTTACATGTTATTGATCTTTGAGGTATTGGATTTCTTGGTTTGTTAACATTGAACCTTGACAGTTTGTTTAGATCTATGTTGGGGATTAGATGTCATAATATTGGGTTTTTGTTGAGAAACTCCATCTGAGGTTTTGAGGATGACAAAATAATTAAAGGTTATCAATGTGTGCATCAAAAGCTACCTAAACATGGATTCTTACGTTAAGAAATAAACCGTGCACAACCTAGCATGGCTCGTTTTAAAGCTATGCGAGCAAGAATAAGCCATAACATGAGCAAATAATATCATGCAGGCGGAGGCACAAGTGAGGCAAGCTTTCGCGGTATAAGAGCTAGGGTGGGGATTTAGGGTTTCGGATATATTTTTTTATTCTACATCTCCTGGACCTGAGCGATTGCTCTAGTAGATAAGTGTCGTGCAATCTTAAACTAGAACGATACACTTTAAAGCCATGTAGGCATTGAGTGAGCCGCTACCAAAACGGATAATATTTGGCCGACATGGTGAATGAAAAGTTGAGTTATGATAACAAAAATTCAAGGCTAATTATGCGAACCTTCAAATATTACGGATCAAATTAAAAAATTTTCCTCGTATGAATAATTCTGCGTTGGGAAAGTAACACTAATGGTTCATGAACTTATGTCTAATATGCAATGTTGTTTATGAACTTTTAATTTGTTCTATGTGATTCTTGAACTTTAGCCAAATGTGCAATGTCGTCCCTTATCTTTCAATTTGGTCAATGTAGTTTATGAACTTCTAATACATATATGTTCAATCTAATGCCTAAACTATGTGAAAATATTTAATGTTACCCTTCTATTAATTCAAGTTGAGGGACAATATAGAATATTTTCATATAGTCCAAGGACTAATTTTAACATGTACCAAAAGTTTAAGGATCACATTGAACAAATTAAAAGTTTAGGGATGATTTTGTATATTGGGCTAAAGTTTAGGGACTATATTGAATAAATTAAAAATTTTGGATCAAATTGCATATTAGGTCAAAGTTCATTGACTATTTATATCATTATCCCTTCTGCATTCACACCCCAAAGGAATATGCCAAACCCGACCGATACACGTGACGTGGGGATAAAAGACGAAGTCCCATAGAATAGTATGTTAACCAAGGACCAAGACATATATGATCCGAAGACTTAAAAAAATGTGGTCGTGCACTAAACTACAACCAAGGAAAGTGACATAGGAAGGCACCGAGCAATGCCCAAGAAATCAACCCAATAATCAGTCAATGTCTCCATCGAAAGCCCTATTGAAAAAAAAAAAAAACCACTAATAATCTGTGGTGGCCGTCCTCAAAGTTCATGATTGAAGACACTGTGGTACCAAAAAGTCACCTAATACTCCAAATTCGAAATGCTGACTTTTGAACTCTTGGTGAGATACATGAAGATTGGTTCCCAGTTTTGCCTAGTCATACTTCCATCATGCTCATAATATTGCTTAAAAAGCTTGCCGACTTCGGATTCTTCGGACCCATCTAAGATCACTTGCAAGGTACGAAGTTTTGTCCGATCCTAAGCTTCAAAAACACTCTATAAAGAGCGTCACGAGAAAGTGAAAAGAAAAACCATCATTCCATTGACAATTTTGACGCGACACGAGATCACGAATTAAGCAAAAACCAAAGTATTGAGAATAGTTTGAGAATGCCGAATCGGACAATGATATAATGAAGAGTCACACAAATTGATCCAGATTTCAAATTACTTGAACATTGATGTCAATTACACACAGCACAATCACAGTCACACAAATTGCCACCCTTCCCTCCGCCATGCTAGCAGAACTTCCCCTCCTTTTTTGTTGTTATACCTTTTGAGAGGAGAGAGAGAGGGTTAAGCCAAGATTAGAACTTTTGTGTTCAGCATAAAGAGATGATACAAACAATAACTGGACTTTAAACTCTCAGAAATTTGCCATTGATATTGTACTGCCTAAGCATCAAGTCATTTAATAAGCAAAATTCAATATAGGCAGCATTGCTAACATAATAGTCCGGTCAGTTTAATAAACCTCCAGATGGGGAAACGGGGCCAGAAAAAAAAAACGCAAGATGGTCTTCAGTGAACTTATCAGCAACATAACATTGAACAGAACACGAGATTTCTTGAAGTTTTTCAGAAACCGGGAGCCAAATTAACATGCAAAACAGATAAATGTCACAGATGCTTGAACAACTTGAATGGAAACTGTGCTTAATGTGAATGGTGAGTGATGTGGCAAGCTTGTTAGATGTATGCCCTAAAGTCACAATGTAATAGTTACATGTTAGGGATTTAAGTTGTATTTTCAATTTCATTATTTATTTAATGGCAAGGACGTATTCATTCATTTGTCCAATTATTTAAATATATGAATAATTCCATAAGATCAGTTATGACTGGATTTATTCTTGAGACGTTAATAATATGTGTGACAGGTTCACAGTTAGACTGAATCTTTAAATTGCTCCTAGTCGATGGATCATTGAGTGGATATTAATGACCCTGTTGAGACCAGTGTGTTCTTAGCTTTACCATTAAATATTGGATATTTAAGGGAATGACGAGTCACGAGTCATTGGGTATTATGATGCCCGAGTTAGAACACAGGTGCTTGTACCAAACAAGTTCACTGAACGTGACATGTATATAACGATTAGCAACATGGAAGCTTTTAGCGTGGTCAATGCCTAATCGTTCATGCTTTGGTCATGTGTAAATAATCCTTAGACTTGAGGCACAGTGTTGACTTGTGTGTTGGATGGCTATGGTTCACAGGTGCGCATATTGCCAGTTCGTTGATCCGTCTCTGTACTTGATGGCCATAGTTCGTTCACATACGAAGTTACACGTGTGCACAAAATGGAATCTGTTTCCTTGTTATACGTAAGGTACAATAATGATGTCCTATGCAATCTAATCTTGACACTACATTAAAATCCTTGGCCGTGGTTGTAACCAAGAATGAACTGCTCATGTCTCATATAAAATGCATGTCAATTAGGTTTGTGCATATGGTCGAATTGGTTGCTTGACAAATATTTCATGGTCTTTGTTCAATCAGGACATAGTAAGACAGAGGGATTGAATTACACTATAGCCAAAGTTGATAAGTTTGTTATGTTCTTAAAGCATTCACACTGTCTGAGTAGCCATAACATATTGCTAGATGTCAATCATGGCTTGTAAGACCTAGAGGTTGATCGGAATAATCAATTCTCTTGGGAGTACTAATGTGTTGGTGCAAGTCTTACTACCAGCTCAGTGATGAACCTAGGGATGTCACACACCATAACCAATTTAGGATGACGTTGTATGGAAGAGACGATATTGCAAATATGTTTGCAATCGACTTGAGTCGGACTGAAATTAAATTAAATGGGATTTAATTTAATTTAATTTTTTTCATGGGCGTGTGTGCGTACGATGCTCGCGAAATACACATATAATGATTGTGCACTTCCATGTTTGTATATATATATTTTTTATTTATATATAAATTTAAAAGTGCACACGGACAGCAATAGTTGCTGTCCGTGTGCGTTTTAATTTAAAAAAAAAAAAGGGGCACACGGTCAACAAACGGTTGCTGACCGTGTGCATGTCACACATGATCAGCAACTGTTGCTGATTGCCATATTAAAAGTGCGATCAGCAACAGTTTTTCCTCTTCCGACGCCGTGACTGAAATATCGAGAGTGCGGAGAATTGTTGCCACAAGATTGCTAGCACAATTATATTGGTGATTACCCGTAAGTTTTTCCTTCTGTTCGTCGTGCGATTGGTGGTGTGTCTGAACTAGAAGTCCGATGCTTGTGGGGCTCGAACTAAAGAACATCCGAACCGAAATCGTTTTGAGCACGCTGCGAAAGATAATCCGTTTAACCCCCTACGGTTTTCCGATTTTTAATTGAAACGCACGAACAACGCCTTTGGAGATACATGTGTGGTTATATCTTTCCACTGCATTTATATTTTATTTTAACTATGCATGTTCCGTGGAAAACCAACGAAGCTTTCATAAGAAACACGGTCAATCGTCGAGCCAGTCCAGAGAGAAGCACTTGTCCACGAAATGAACTTGAACATCCTCCCTAGGCTCCACAACCTCTTGCCACCCCGAAGACACCTCCTCATCGCAGACCACAGTTTTAAGAGACCTCATCGATGAGGCAGACATCGGCACCCGCCTTATTTGCACGCATTCCCTCATATCGATCTTCTCAAGTGTCCCCAGGTTTCCAATTTCGTCAGGAAGGCGCATCAAATTAACACATTGAGAGATGTCAAGATACTTCAAGCGACCAAGTTGACAGATTCCCGGAGGAAGCACCTAAGATTCGGGCAAGCATACATCGTCAAAATCTCTAGAGACGACAGTTTGTGCAAATTGGCTGGTAGCCTTTGAAGGCTGTGGCAGTTCGTGATGCTCAGGTTCGTGAGAGATCGGGCCCTGCAAATGCTCGAAGGAAGCTCCAAAAGTCGTCGCAATGGTCAATAGTGAGCTCCGATAGGCATGGAAAAATCTGGGGGAGGTCGACGGTTGACGGATCCAGGCTGTCATTGATCTTGCACAGGACTAGAGATATCTTCCTCATGTAATTGAGGGGTATTGTGGTTTCAGATAAATGGGGGACACAAACCCTTTCAAGCCAGAGGCTTCGCAACTTGGTCAAACTAGAGAAAACCGAAAAGTTTCTGAGGACAGCGTTGGAAGTGCTGTGATTTATGACAATCAGAGCACGGAGCTTTGGCAAGTACTCGATAAAAGGGGGTAAGAAGTAACTGTCGGAGGAGAAGTTGAGAATGAGCACTTCAGCCTTGGGGAATTCAGTCTTGGCCAGTCCATTTCATTCATTTCACCTAGATTTGCACAACAGATATTAGTGAAAACAAATTGGAAGGGAGAATTCAGTGTACGAGCCTCACTAAATTTCAGTCAGTACCTGTGTGAACTGAAACAATTTGGGCATCAAATGGTCTGTCTGAATTCCTCTCCCACTCTCTAGGAAGCTCATTTTCTCTTCTAGGCATAAGCAGCGCCTGCACTTGTTGACTTCCTCCTGGTTGTTGAGATGAAGGGCGAGGTCATGTTGGGTCATCGACACCTCAAAGTAACTGCTGTATATTTCTCCAGCTCTGCCACAGATCTCACGAAGTTAGAAGGATTCAGTTTGATTAGTTCTTCCAAATCTAAGAGCCATACCAAAAGACGTGCGGAATATGTACATGCCGGTCATCTTTAACCATAGTAATTAGATTTTTGTTGGAGAGCTCAACAAGGATTGCAAAAGCTTCTTCGTCATCGATATCGTGCATTTCGAACCACATTTTGATAAGAACATCCAGAGGAATCTTTGTGTCCTCTGGGAACGATCCCATATCCAAGAAGCATTCCCTGACCTTTTTCTTCAAGTACTCCACACTGATCGCCATCCTATCCAGCAGTTTGCTTCTATGAGAGTCGCATATCTTCTCTCCCCTTGCCAATCTATTTTTGGCACTCTTCCTGAACATCGGTAATAGGTCCCTCAGTGAAGTTCCAATCACTTTGAGAGCTGAAGGAAGTCCTTTACACTCGTTGACAACCTATCCACAACGTTTTCATGGCATATAGAATCAAAGGACTAAGGTAGCAAATTCAAATGAAACTTCAAACAAAGTTACAAGTGTTTACACGAGTAAAAACGTACTCCAGAGAGAGAGAGTTTTCCAAACTACCTGCTGGACCAAATCTTTATCAGCACCAGGAGGGATGGACTTTTGACCAAAAGCCGAGTAGCAGAACAGGGTCATGGCTTCTTGTTCCCTCAGCAATTCTACTTCGTAACTATCTTTAATTACTTCCGGGAATTTGAATCTCGAGACCACGAGGGTCTTGCAACCAGGTGTCCTGGAAATGGCAACCAACGGCTCAAGATCTGCGAACGACCACACATCATCCAGCACAATCAGGGTCCTTTGTCTTGGGGCCCCTAAATCATACCGCAGATTCCACTGAGGAACCCGATCGAATGGACTGACCCCTTCATTCCCCATTATAAATCCCTTAATCTGTGCCTTCAATAAATCTACATTAGGGGACTGAGATACTGTTAGGAACAGAACCCTGTTGTTGAAATAACCTGGAAGAAGCATAAAATGATCAGTTGGTAGCTTTGAATCTAAACGGATGGAACTTAGCATTCCGAAACAAGTGAAAATCCACCTTAAACAAAACCGAAAAGAAAGGAGCTCACAAACCGAAAAGACAGGTTTTTTTAGAAATGATTTTCATTTCTCGTCCAAAAATAGAAAACCTACTTTTTTTTGGTTTTGATTTTTTGTTCAGAACCAGTTCTAGAACAAAAAGTTGTTCTAGAAATAGAAAAATGGAATTGCATTACCAAACAGGTTTCTGTTCCAAACCTGTTCCCGAGAACAAAGAACTAGTTCTGGACATAAATAGAATGGTTATCATGCGTGCCCTTAATGTCCCAGAATCAATTGTTGTGAAGACACTATAGCCTAAAAATGACTGGAAATGACTTCATTGGATATTTTATTCAATTAGGATATGAAATTGCCCAAATTTGGGGAAAACATATTCCCAATTGAAATTTTGTAAAATTGACATGGCAGGGCTAAAATTAGAACTAAAAGAAGACTAATGACTATTTTAATGGAATTTTTAAATTCCATCTGCTATTTTTCTTTATTTTCTTCCTATTCTTATTAAAAGAAATTAAGGAAAAATTAACGAAAAATCTAGAAAAATTATTTTTTGTTTAGAAATAGGTTCCTAAGCATGGCCAAGGTTGCTAATCCTAATTTTGTTATTTTTAGATAAATTTAAAAAATGAGTTAAAAATCATGTGTCAACAGATATTACATGAAAGTACTAAATTTCATTTATCAATTGAATTTGGCATATATAATTAACTTCCAATCGATAAGATTAATATGTGACCCACTAATCAGATGTAGGTCGTAGGAAGTTTCCTCCAATCAAGAATAAAGGATAATGTAGCTTATTGCAAATATGATATTACATCAAAGTGCTAAATTTCATACATCAATTGAATTTGCCATACATAATTAACTTCCAATCGATGATAAGATTAACATGTGACCCACTAATTAGATGCCGGTCATAGGAAGTTTCCTCCAATCAAGAATAGAGGAAAATATAGTCTATTGCAAATACGATATTACATCAAAGTGATAAATTTCATACATCAATCGAATCTGGCATATATAATTAACTTCCAATAGATAAGATTAACTTGAATATAGACTTTGGGTTGGCCAAATTAATAATTGAAAATTCTCATCTCAAGAATTATAAGATCAACTGATATTCGTTAGGATACTGTAGTTAGTAAATCGATAGCAACAGATCATGAGGGTTTTGTTGCTAGATCATTATCCAAGGTACATGGTAACCATCTATGTTTATTTTCCCAAAAGGAGCAGTTACATCAATTGATGTCTAAGATAATGAGATAATATCGTGAACAACATTCCCTTCATGTTTTATTTATAGTTACTCTCATCAACTACAAGACTTCAACGCGTGCATGTTTGATGGCTCTCACAAAAATTTTATTAGTAGAAGAAATGTTTATAAAAAATGTAAAAGTATGTGCAACAAAACAAAATGTGGAAGTTCAAGAAGGAAGTGAAACTTACAAAATTCATCGTGAAGTATAAAATGGTCGATTTTGTGAGAGACCATCCCTAGAATCTCTCTCTTAATAATTAGTATAGATATATCGACTTCTTTCCCTAGCCTGTATTCCTTCTAAAAGCCTTTTAAGCTGTCTTGCGATAAGGTATTCCGCGCATTAGAGGCATGTAAAAAATCAAATGAAGAGATATATCGTAATGGTAATGTGATTGTTCAGTTACACTTAAATCACATCATTCATATAACATGTACATAAACTACTTTCTTTTGTATATATCAAACGTAATTTCCTCTAGTATGTAAAGTCAGACACATCATTTCCCCCTCTTTTTTTCTTGTTTAGTTTTCACCCTCTTCTTTTCCAAAAGGGAAAAGCTTTACATCTATCTAGCAGCACCATGTGGGATAATGGGTGTGACATTCTGAATTTCGACCCACTTTCAGGATTTATGAAATGATATTATCATCAATGCACTTTCTGTTATATCTCACTCGGAATTGGCCATTCTTGAGAATACTAACCGTTAGGGAATGGCTAGTTAGGATTTCGGTACGTACGACCCAAGAACTTGAACCTGGATTGACACTTCGACCATAAGGATTGACGAGGGGATATTTTGAGCCATTATAGGCCGATCCAAGAATGATTATGGAACAATTTAACAATGTTATACAATTGAGTCACGGGTGATTCCGTTTAATCGTTGTATGCATTCTGAACGTTCCAAAATTAATTTCTAACGATCGTGTCATTCGAAACTAATGATTGACCCTCGTAATTACATGACAATCGAAGTCACCATGGCTCGAGTAAACTGAAACATGGATTGATATCAAATCAACCACGGGTCGACACGCGTAAACCCTAAAAGCCACCAATTAGTTTGAGATACACGAAAGTCGCGTTTGATCGATTTTGGCCACGAATTGGAATCCGAACTTGGGTATCGAACTTTCAAGGATATCAAAATTATTATATTAGACGACGCCGCGTTAAGCTCGCTTTATTATCGGTTTGCTCAGAAATTCGCGAAAAAGGGAAATTTGGCTCGGAAATTGGAAAAGACGATTTTACCCCTGTGTGTTCTAGAGTTTATTTGTTGAGTGGAAGGACATGTTGGTCTTTTTACCCTAGTGGCCGAAAATCTTCTTGGACAACTTTGCCCTTGCCCTTTTTGGTTATTTACATAAATGCCCTTCTAGAAACCTTTTTGCAAGATTTAATCTTGGCCTTTGGATGGAACTTGGATAGCAAGACTTGATCCTAGCCTTTAGATCTTTGCTTGGGCATCAAGAACATATCTCAACCCTTGATCTTGATTGAAGTTTCGGCCCTCTCTCTCTCTCTCTCTCCTCACTTCTCCCTTGCTCTTTCTCTCTCTTCATTTTCTTTCTCTCTCCCTCCCCCTTGGCCGAGACTCACTCACCACCACCGTCCACCACCCTTGCACCTCACGCCACCACCCCTAGACCGCTGTGGACCACCGTGAGCCACCCCCAAGCCGCCGATCACGCCCGGATCAGCCGCCGTTCGCCGGATCGCCGTTTGGCTGCCGCCGTTCGCCAGAAATTCCAGATCTGGCCGTGAATTGTGCTGCTGGTTTTGGCTTGGTTCTTAGCTTAAATTAGTGGTAAGTAACTCCCTAAACCTTGATTAGGTTAGTAGGTTACCAATGGATAGTGTTTAGGGGTTGTTAGGGTAATTTAGGGGTTAATTTAGGGGTTATGGTAGATGCTGAATTAAGGATTTGTTGGTGGCTGGATTTGATGATTATATGGCTGATTTGAATGTTAAGATAGGTAGATTGTGTGACTTGAGCTTGAGCATATGTTTAATGTTGCTAATTGTGCTTAATTTGGCTAATTATGATTGTTTATTGGTTGTTTTAATTAAATTCGTGGGTTAGTCTTGTGGCTACAATAATCATGTGGTAGTGGCTGAATTGGATGATTTGGACTTGATCATATGGCCCCCATTGATTCTAGATTGGTTAATGTTAATTTTAGGGCCTAATTAACATGATTATGTGCTAATTTTGATCGTACGGTTTAAGTTAAATTAGGATGTGATATAATTGATCATATGGCTTATTAGAGATTTGAAGTTGATAGTGTAGCTTTGATTGACAATCGCATGGCTAATTAGTCAATTATATGCCAATTAAAGGTTTAATGACGATCGTGTGGTGGATTAGTTGTTTAATGCCGATCGCATGGTTAAAGTGTTTAATCGTATGGTTAATTTATTTAATCATGGATGAGTAGTTGACTATGGCTTGATCGTGTGGTTGGAATGATGATTTCGTGGCCTAGAACGAAGATCGTATGGTTGAAATTGATGTTTGATACGAAAACGAGTGCGATTCATGGCATATTTATTCGTAGTAAATTGCACGTCATAAACACTTGCATTGGCTAATTAAGGAAGATTAAAATTGGTAATGCGTGGGTGTTTATGTGTATGGCCATGATGAGTTCCGTCTAAGACGAGTTCTAGACGATGCTCGGCGGAAGTTTGGATGCTGTCTGGTACCCGACTTGTCGAGAGGGGGGGTTCGATCCCAGACATTGCCGATCGCGGTGGAGGCCGGATCGATGCTCCTAAATGGAATGTCGTCCGGTACCCGACTTGTCGAGGGGGGTTCGATCCCGAACGTTGCCACGCCCAAAGTAGTGGGCTGATGCCTGGCTATGCCGGAAGACCGGCGGGAG